CCAGTTGGATTCGAACCCGCAACCTTGCGACTGTGACCTGGGAGCGCTAACCACTTGCGCTATCGACCCGCAGGTCTCTTTTTCTTTTTCTATATTAACACAATGAATTAGAAACAAATTTCATATACTATTTTAAAAGTAGAATTCACAATTGCTAATACAACTGCATACAACATTAAGTATGACATAAATACATCTGGGCTAATTTTGTTTGTTCCTAAAATTTAAAGGTTACTGACCTATCAGTTGTGATTAGATTTTGATTTGAAAGATATCACAAAGATCAGTATACATGTTGGTCGATTTATTGTCGAATTGATTAATGAAAAAAGTATTCAGTTGAAGGGTGGGTAATTGGTTAGATGCAAGTTTTAATATATAATTTGTTAAATTTAGGACCCTTTCAATGCACATCAATTGACTGTCTAATATCTAACAAAGAATTATAGTTTTAATGGCTGAAAAAGGTCCAATAAACAAAATCAGCCCAGATGATAAGCATATTATTTTAATTTTTTAATATGCATCACACCAAGTTCTGTAGTTGTATATATATATATAAGAAGGTTTCATATACCTTTTAAATCTTGGTGGATTTTTCTTTGCCTAAGCACCCGCTCACAAAAATCAAACCAGGGCAATTTTTCATCCGATACATATAAATAGATCTAGAAATAAACCAATTTATTAAAGGATCAATAAGGACTAAATAAAAAAGGATCTTCATTCACCATTAAGTTTTTCATTATGTTCTTGCTCCAGATATAGGGTTTAGTCTCCTTATTAGAATGCAAATTTTGAATTTTTTTCACTTGTTCAATGAATTTAGTAAATGAATCCCACATAAGTATTTCAGATTCATAGACGAATTTGATTCGAATTCCTATATCGGTGCAGACAATTTCACCTTCTAGATCGAGGGAACCTTCTTTGAAAATGATTTTGTCCATAGGAACAAGTTCATTTCTTTTAGTACAACCTATAAGAGTGAGGTGATAACCTGGCAATTCAACCATAATGTGTATATATTTTTTGTCAAGTTCCTAAGAAAAATGTTCAGAAATCTTATTAGTTGCTTCAAACAACCTCTCGCCTCTAAGTTTTTTTTCAATATTCGCATTAGGGTGTCAAAAAAGATATATAACTTTCGATTGGTTTATTAACTTTCCACAATTTAAGATTTACATCATCAACAAAAGTAAGATATTGTTTCATTTTTTTAATTTTCTCTTTAAGAATTATTTTAAGCATGTTGACAGTTGTTTCAGAATCCAATTCAACAGAAAAAATATTAGTAATGTCTGGGGTATCACCGTGAATAAGACAGTTAAGTTCAATAGTAGGCATGATTCGGAACTATTATAAATAAGTAAATGTTAATGCCATTCTAATGTCATTTTGTCAACGATCAAAATTACATGCCAAAATTTACGTACATATTTCGAGGCTAGAGCGATACAACTTTTAATGAGAAGACGAATCCAACAATAATAAAGATACCAGTATAAAAAAATACCAGATATGCAAAGAAGCTATAATGATAAGGCTTTAGATTAATTGTGCATCCTGAGAAGGTTCGATTAGTTCACTCTAATATTACATACCATAAGCCAAATAAAAAAAAAACCAAGTAAAGACAAGGAATATTGGGATGCTAGTAGAAACAACTACCACATGTGTGAATCCAAGAACAATAGTCATCTTTTGCAACAAGGAATTATTAGAGATGACTTACTTAAGCAAACATAACAAAGCCTTAAAAATACAAGAAATATTAATTACGTAGTTAATACGTAGTAAATACGTACCAAAAAAATACAAAAAATAATAAAATCGTAACTAGAAAGTTCTAGGCAACATTATACCAAATTGCTTAGAATCGGATTACCGTATTAAAATGCAAATAAGAAGCTTCTCTTGTTAAAATTTAATTTAATTGCAAAAATCCTAATCATGATACGTACGTACGTACGTACGTATTGTAACGAATTTAATTTTATAATCTTACCCTCTTTGGTGTAATTGATTATTTAACTAAATTAGTATCGTGATTGTTAAAGCCTTCGAAGGAGGCAGTGTGCATATTGAC